GGGGCCTGCTGCCGGCCCCGGGTGGGCCGGCGCAGGGCCCCTCCGCCCTCCGCCACCTTGCTCAGCCACAATGTGATAACTTTTTAAATTCTTTTCATTGCCATCTATTTTATCTGGTATTGTTATTCAATTAGATATATTGCATAGGATGTGCCAAGAGTAATTTTTTTACTAACCAAATTCTGTGACCATTGGGTGAATCTTTGCCTCAGCTTCAGACCACAGCAGTAACTATCAGTTCAGCTATACCAATGTTTCCCCTTTTTTTGCATAATAATTTATTTTTTGACTTATTTTATATATTCAATAATTGTACATCTTTTTTTTTTTTTTTGGAGAGGTTTTTGCCATAGGGTGCGTGCGCTCGCCAGACAGAGACAGACAGAGAGACAGAGAGAGACAGAGAGACAGAAAGTGAGAAATCACCCCCCGGGGGGGTATGGCCATGCCACAATCCCTTCTCCTCCATTCTCCTCTTGGGATCTTGGGCACGCACGCACATGCACCCAGCGTGAATTTTAAGCCACCGGGTCCGGGACTTGAACTACGGTAGATTACATGGGAGTCCAGCGACATAGCCATTATGCTAACTGCTGGTCCTAGTCACTGTACATCTTGACAGCTTGTAAAATGAATTCTCTCAGCATAAATACACTGCACACCAGTCTAGTTAAGCACATTATCATACAGATACATCAACAGACAATCCTCCACTTCTGTGTCCTTTAAATATCTTGCCTCTTTATTTTTCTCCTTAATTCCTTTCCTCGAACCTTCTTCCTCCACTTCCCGACCTCCTCCCACACTGTCTCCAGTATCTACAACTGTTTTCCATGTTTAAGTATCCTCCAATCTTTCAGTTTCCACCATAGACTACGTACATCTGGTATATATGATATGGGGACATAAAATGTCTCCATAATCTGACTTGCTTCACTCAGTAGTAAATCTTCTATATTTGTCTCCTTTCTATCAAATGTCAGGGTCTCTTTGGGTTTTTTTTTTTAAGAGGTTTTTGCTATAGGGCGCGTGCGCTCACCAGACAGAGAGAGACAGAAAGCAAGAAATCACCCCCTCAGAGGGGATGGCCACACTGCAATCCCTTCTCCTCCATCCTCCTCTCAGGATCTTGGGCACGCACACACATGTGCCCGGCGTGAGTTTTAAGCCACCGCGGTTGACTACGTAGGAGTCCAGCGACATAGCCATTATGCTAGCTGCTGGTCCCAAGGGTCTCATTGTTTTTTATTGCTGAATACTTCCATAGTGTATATGTCCATTCATCTATTTGTGGATACTTGCGTTGGTTCCATGTCTTAGCAATTGTGAATAATGCTGAAATAATCATGGATGTGCAAGCACTTTGCCAACTGAGCATTTTCCTGTCCTTTGAGTAGATACCCAGAAATGAAATCGCTGGATCATATGGTAGTTCTAATTGTAGGTCTTTGAGGAACTTCCATATTGTTCTCCACACTGGCTGTACTAATTTACATTCCAAGCAACAGTTGTAGGAGAGTTCCCTTTTCACCTTAGCCTTGCCAGCATTTATCATTGTTTATTTTTTTAATCTTAGCCTTTCTCACTGGGGTTACATGGTATCTCATTGTGGTTTCAATTTGTATCTCCCTTATGATAAAGGATGTTGAGCATTTTTTCATATGCTCTTTGGCTGCTCATCTGTCTTCCTTAGAGAGCGGTCTGTTCAGTTCATTTGTCCATCTTTTAATTTGGTTGGTGTTCTTTTTTGGGGGGGAGCGAGGGGTAGAGTAAGCCGCTTGAGTTCCTTGTATATTATGGTTATCAGTCCCTTGTCTGAGGCATAATTCGCAAATATATTCTTCCATTTTGATGGTTGCTAGTTCACTCTAACTTGTTTCCTTTGCTGAGTAGAATCTTTTTAGCCTATTGTAGTCACTATTGTCTATTTTTGGGATTATTGCCTATGCTTTAGAGGCCTTATTTAAGGAGTCCTTGCTGCTATGATGTCTCCAGGAGTTTTCTCTGTGTTATCTACCAGTAGTTTTATAGCTTGAGTTCTTAGGTTTAGGTCTTTGATCCATTTGGACTGATTTTTGTTAATGGTAAAAGATAGGGGTCCAGTTTCATCTTTCTACAGGTAGATACCTAGTTTTTCCAGCACGATTTGCTAAAGAGATTTCAATCTGTTAGCTTTTAAGAGTTGAAAACGGTAAAGGTTTGACTTTCTTTGCTTATTAACTCTGTGACCTGAGGCAGACTACTTCAGAGTCAGTGTTTGCATTGGTCTATGTCTATTTTAATACCTACTACAGTTTCTGGCACAGGTAGGTTCTTAATGACACATTGCTGTTATTATCGTCAAAGTGACACAGAAGGAATACAAGAAAAGTGCAATACAAATTCAAAAGTCTTTTTCCACAAATGGAAAAATACAAATAATAGTATCTCAGAATTATTGTGAAGGTTATAAATAATCTTTTCTTGCAAATTTTTAAACATTCAAAGAATAACCATTGTTAAACTGTACTAACATTTCTAGCCAAAATGAAAACAATTGCTGCTTATTCTTTTAAAAAACAACATGGTTACTTTTTTTGTGGTTACAGAAGAATACATTTCTCCCCCCAAAGACTGCTCGGTGAACTTTTATATTGCTTTACATTCTCACAAATTTAAGTCTCATGAATATTTGGCCTTGGAGCATTTTCAGTCTACAAAATTGTTTGTTTTTCATTTACTATAAATCTTTCTGTAGCATATTTTGAACAGAATACATAAAAGGTAATATTAAATTTATGTCCAGATGTGCTTCCAATAGGGAAGGAGGCTCAACTATATTGTAAGAGTTTTAGGGCTTGAGTCTTGACTGGTAGCATCATCAAAACTCCAAGATGAGGGGCTCAAATGACGGTAAGTGGTTGGGTATGACCCAAGGAAAGCAAGATGAACTGGGGTTGGTAAGTAGACTTTTGCCTCTAAAGACCTGTGGTCTTTCGCTGCATGATCAAAAATAAGTTGGTACTGGCTTATACCCCACTGAACGACTACTGATGCAAGACGGCTTTAGTTTTGCACTATTCTCACCTCAGCATGGATTTGGTTGTTCAATCAGTCAAGAAAAAAGACCTCACTGAGTGTATGTACTTTATGTGGTCAGGATGATGTTAAACTCTATAAAAGCTAAAAAACTAGGTGGGAGTTCCATCAGGCTGACTCCATCAGGCTGAGTTCACCATCTAGCCTTTTAGCTTCCTCAATTGTAGAGGTCTGTTTTCTTCAGCTCTGTTCTGTGCTTTGCTTCCAGAAGATTCCACAGCCAACAAAGATTCTGGCCAAGAATCAGAGTCTATACCAGAATATACAGCTGAAGAGGAGCGGGAGGACAACCGGCTGTGGAGGACAGTGGTGATTGGAGAGCAAGAGCAGAGGATTGACATGAAGGTCATCGAGCCCTACAGAAGAGTCATTTCTCATGGAGGTAGCCATCTGTGCGAGTTTGGGAAATGGGGGTGGGAGGCAGCTATATATATATATATATATAT